GGGGCGGGATGAGGAAGAGGGAGGAGCGGGCGGAGCGATGGAACCGGGGGAGAAGGGGAGGGAGGAAGAGGAGGGTGAGACGAAGAAGCGGAACAGAAACAAGCGAAGCAGCGGGAATCCTGCGGCCTTCATCCAGGTGTCCGCGGGGGCGCCAGGAAGGTGCGAACCCCCAGGCTGGTGTGGTCCCATCGCGGATCACCGGGGATCGCCCAGCGCGGATCCTCCCGCGGGGGATGGAGCGGGAGCGGCGCACGGAGCTCGGCCCGCACCGAGGAACTGCGGGATCCGCGGGCACCGACCCCTCCTCTTCCTCCTCTTCCTTCTTCATCCGCCCTCCTCCTGCTGGCGCTGCCCCGGCCCAGCCCCCCCCTTTGTCCCCCTCCCTTTTCCCGAACCCGTCCCCTCGCCCCCCCAGACCCCTCCCCACGGCCCCCCAAGGAGCGGCCCCGGGGCCAACTGGGAAGCTTTATTGGGAGCACTGGGAGCGGGCGCTGGCCGGGGGCGGAGCGGCAGCTGCGGGGGCTGGGGGGGACACGGGGCCCGCCCGGCATCAGCGGCCGGGGGGCCGGAGCGGGGGGTCCCGCCGGGGCCCGAGGCCAGGGCGAGGGGCTGCGGCCGCCGGCGGCTCAGGAGCTCTGCGGGCAGAGAAAAGGGGGTGAGCCCGGGCTGGGGGCCCCGGCGGGAGCGCAGCCGCTCCGGCGCGGGGGGGCCGCGACCCCCGGCCCCCGGCCCCACCTTCTTGCGCACGTAGAAGCCGAGCCCCAGCGCCAGGAAGACGAAGCCCAGGACGAAGCCCCCGATGCCCGTCAGCATCTTGCTGCGCCCGGCGTCCGGCGGCATCTCTGGGGGGGCCGCGGGGCTCAGCACCCCCGAAACCCCGCACCCACACCCCCGGCCCCGCTCGCCGCCCTCCCGCTCATCCCCAGCTCGTACCCCAGCGGCGGCTCAGGGGCTGCTCCAGGCTGACGTGCTCCACCTGGCAGCTGTAGCTGAGCCCGCGCCGGGGCGGCGTTTCCAGCAGCACCAGCAGCTGGTAGCTCCAGTCCCCGTTGGGGACCACGTCGGTGGCCACCACGTGCTCCGAGAGCTCCTGCTGGCCCTGGAACCAGCGCACCTGGATGGCAGCGGGGTAGAAATCCATCACGGAGCAGAGCAGGCGGCCGGGGCCGGGCTGGGAGCTCGAGGGCACCAGCGAGATGGACACGTTGGGGGGCACTGGGAAGGAGCAGAGTCACACTGGGATCAGCTGGGGGCACTGGGAGAGAGAGGGGAGGTCTGGGGGGGGATTGAGAGCGAGTGGGAATGGACTGGGTTGGACTGGGAGATACTGGGAAAGGCTTGGGAGCGACTGGGATGACCCCGGTAGAGATGGGACCGGGTCGGGCACGTTGGGATGGAGGTTGGAAGTCCGGTTGTGAACCGAAAATGAACTGGGAATGCCTTTGGAATTGACTGGGAATGGGTTGAATGGAGGTGGAAGGGAATGAGAAGGCACTGGGAGGGACTGGAACGGCACTGGAAACGGTGTTGGTGGCACTGGGAGGCACTGGGTTGGCACTGGGAGGCCGAGTCCAGCGCGGGGCACTCGGCGCTGCGGGTCTGCCTGGCAACGGATGAGTCATCAGAGAGACGCGTTGTGATTGGCCGAAAAGCGCCGGCTGTACGCGTGGCTGAAATGGACGCGCGGCAGGAGCCTGGGATGGACTGCGAGAGTCATGACGGTCAGGTGCAGGGATGGGAGGCCCGGGGATGGACCCAAGGAGGGCTGAGGGCTCTGGGGCGACGCCCAGGGAGGTTTTGAGGGGCTCCAGTGTCGTTGAGAGGGCAGGGCCCGAGGGGACGCGCTCTGCCCCGCGCTCACCTCGGCGCTCTGTGAGGAACGGGTTGAAAGTCTTGTACCAGCAGCGGCAGAACCAATCCACCGCAGTCCTTCGTCTCTCCATGAGTTCCGGTAGGCTGTTCCAGAGCCTAGCCTTTGTCTCCCCAGCGGGGGTGAACCCCACGTATTCCCCCACGTCGCTGTCGAACATCACGTCCTGCATGCGGTTGTAGATGTACCGCTCCACGTACCTCACCTTCTCCGTGCAGTTAGTGAAGTAACACTCGGCCGTTCTCAGCTCCTGGAACCACCCTGAGGGTGCAGCACACAGCTCAGGGATATCCCTCCCAGCGCCCCCAAACTCCCTCCCAGTTCCAACAAGGAACCCTAAGTTCCATCCCAGAAGCATCCAGCACCCCTAAAATCCGTTCCAGTGCCCACCAGAATCCCAAAAATCCCTCCCAGTGTCCCCAAACTCCCTCCCAGTGCCAACAAGGACCCCCAAACTCCCTCCCAATTAAACCAACCCCCCCCAAACTCCCTCCCAGTAACACCCAGCGCCCCCAAACTCCATCCCAGTTCCCACAAGGACACCCAAACTCCATCCCATTGACACCCAGCACCCCTAAAATCCCACCCAGTGCCCACCAGAACCCCAAAAATCCCTCCCAGCATCCCCAAACTCCCACCCAGTGCCAACAGAGACCCCCAAACTCCCTCCCAGTTAAACCAAACACCCCCAAACTCCCTCCCAGTCACTCCCGGCACCCCCAAACTCCCTCCCAGTCTCACCCAGAGCCCCGGCAGGTGGGGGCGGGGATGGAGAGGGGCGGGGCTGCGCTGGCCCGGCCAATCACAGCCGCGCGTTTAACATTTAACCCAATTATTTTGGTTAATCAGCTCGTTCAGGAATTTCTGCTCTGATGCCTTTGTCCCCCTCCCTTTAGAAATATAATTTTATTAGGAAGGGGGCACGGAGATTATTAGCTATTAATAACAGTATAAACATTTATATCAATTAAAACTTTAGGGACGTGTTCACATATTAAAATTAAATGTTAATAAAATTAAAAATTCTTAGTAATTTTAAATTTTTTAAAGGTTCTTAACAAGGGCTGAGCTCCACCTTCCCGCTCACTGTGGGATGTGGGGAGGGGGCGATGCTGATGGCGGCGTGGGGGCTGCACATTCGTGGGGCCGGGAAACCGCGGGGTTCTGGCGCTGCTGCTCTATGGCATTGGGGGGGACTGCGCGTACTGGGAGGTACTGGGAATGGAGTCAGAGTGACTGGGATTGGACTGGTTGGGACTGGGAATGGATATTGAGGGGCTGGGAGGGACTGGGAATGGACTGGGAATGGACTGGGATGGACTGGGAGGAACTGGGAGCGACTGGGATTGCACTGGGAGGGAGTGGGAATAGACTGGGAGACACGGGCAATGGGCGGGGTGGAACTGGAATTTAACTCGAAAGGACTGGTAGAAACTAAGATGGACTGGGAATGGACTGGAACGGATGGGGAATGGACTGGGAGGGACTGGGAATGGACTGGGAGGGACTGGGAATGAGCTGACAAGGTCTGGAAGGGACTCTGGTGGCACAGGGAGGGACTGGGGAATGTACTGGGGGAACTGGGAATGAAGCGCGCGGCACTGGGAGGCCGAGTCCAGCGCGGGCACTCGGCGCTGCGGGTCTGCCTGGCAACAGGTGAGTCATCAGAGAGACGAGATTTCATTGGCTGAGAAGCGTCCTTTTTACGCGTCGCTGAAATAGACGCGCGGGGGGGCACTGGGATGGATTGGGAAGAACTGGGATGGACTGGGGGAGTTACTGGCCTCACTGGGAGGGACAGAAGGCGTCGGGGATGGGCACAAGGAAGGGTGAGGGCTCTGGGGCGATGCCCAAGGAGGTTTTGAGGGGCTCCAGGGTCGTTGGCAGGGCAGGGCCCGAGGGGACACGCTCTGCCCCGGGCTCACCTCGGCGCTCCACGGTGAACGGGGCAACGATCGGGTAGTTGTGCCGGCAGAACGTGTCCACCACAGCCCGTCTGTGCCCCAGTCTAGCCGGGTCATCGTTCAAGCGCTTGGCATTCACCTCCCCCAAGGGCGCGTCCCCCACGAACAGCCCCACGTCGCTGTCGAAGTGCATGAACTGCTGCCAGTTGTAGATGTACCTCGCAACGTGCCTCACCTTCTGCGTGCTGTTAATGAAGTGACACTCGGCCTTAAACATGTACTGGAACACCCCTGTGGGTGCAGCACACAGCTCAGGGTTTGCCCCCCAGCACCCCCAGAGCTGCGGGCGCCCCCGGATCCCCACCCCGCGCCCCCCGTGCCCCACGGCCGCCACGGGACCCCAAACCAGTACAAACCAGTACAAACCAGTACCGTCCCAGTCTCTCCTAGTACAAACCGTTACCTTCCCAGTGCCCTCCCAGTACAAACCAGTACAAACTCGTAACCCTCCAGTCCATCCCAGCATGAACCAATAACCTCCCACTCCCCTCCCAGTCCTGCCCAGTTTGATCCCAGTCCCTCCCAGTCCCTCCCAGTCTCTCCCAGTCCCTCCCAGTCCCTCCCAGTCCGTCCCAGTCCGTCCCAGTCCGTCCCAGTCCGTCCCAGTCCCTCCCAGCCCCATTCCCAGTCCCTCCCAGTCCCTCCCAGTCCGTCCCAGTCCATCCCAGTTTCAGGTGCTGCTGCTGGGCCGGGAGGAGCTGCAGGGGCCGAGGAACCCGGAGAGGCTGAAACGGGAGCTGAGGGTAACTGGGACAGACTGGGACAGACTGGGACAGACTGGGACAGACTGGGACAGACTGGGAGCACTGGGGGGGACTGGGATGGACTGGGATGGACTGGGAGGGACTGGGATGGAGTGGGATGGACTGGGAGGGACTGGGATGGACTGGGATGGAGTGGGAGGGACTGGGAGGGAGTGGGAGGGACTGGGAGGGACTGGGAGAGAGTGGGAGGGACTGGGATGGACTGGGAGGGACTGGGATAGAGTGGGATGGACCGGGCTGGACTGGGATGGACCGGGAGGGACTGGGAGGGACTGGGATGGACTGGGAAGGATGGGATGGAGTGGGAGGGAAATGGGCGGGACTGGGCATGGAGGTTTTGAGGGGCTCCGGGGTCATTGGCAGGGCAGGGCCCGAGGGGACGCGCTCTGCCCCGCGCTCACCTCGGCGCTCCACGCTGAACGGGGTGATCCCCTCGTAGTTGTGCCGGCAGTACGTGTCCACCGCAGTCCGTTGGTACTCCATCCATTGCGGGTTGCTGTTCGCTTGCCTGGCGCACTTCTCCCCCCAGGGGGTGAACCCCACGTGCAGCCCCACGTCGCTGTCGAACATCACGTACTGCACCCGGTTGTAGATGTACCGCTCCACGAACCTCACCTTCTGCGTGCCGTTAGTGAAGTGACACTCGTGCTTCGTCATCTCCTGGAACCACGCTGTGGGTGCAGCACACAGCTCAGGGACTGCCCCCCAGCACCCCCAGAGCTCCGGGCCCCCCCGGATCCCCACCCCGCACCCCCCGTGCCCCACGGCCGCCACGGGACCCTCCTGCCCGCGCTGCCGCTTCCTCTGTGCCGCCCTTCCCCCACTGCCCCTCCCACATCCTCTCCCCTCCCGCCTCCGGCCGCTCCCCGAATCCATTCTGGGCTCCCATTTCCCACATTTTTAACCCTTTCCCGCCCATTTTCAATTATTTTCTCACCATCCCCAGCCCCCTCGGGCTCAGTTTTGGGGTCCGCCCTCCCCTTTTCCCCCTTCTCGCCCCCGGCCCAGCGCCTCCCGCCCCCCGCTCACCCGAGAGCTCGGCGCCCGCAGCCGGGGGCGCTGCCAGCAGCACCAGTGCCACCAGTGCCACCAGTGCGGCCGCAGCTGCCGCCCCTCGCCCCGCGGCAGCGCCGGGCAGGGGCCGCAGCCCCAAAGCAGCCGCGCTGCGCCGGGAGCGCCCGCCCGGAGCCTCTGCCCGGCGACTGATGACTCCGCAACGCCCCGCGCTCTCATTGGCTGCGGCGCGCTCCTGCTGCGCTCGGATTGGCTGGGGGGTTCCCGGCACGCTGCAGCCCCGGCTGGGGCTTTTCCAGGCAGGCGGAACCTTGGGGCGCTGGGCAGGTGCGAGCTCAGGTGTGCCCAGAAATGCGCGCCCAGGGCCGCGGGGTCTCGGGGCTGCCCGTGCCGAGGGGTGACGCTGGCCCGATGCCAGGCACCCCCAGAGCCGCTCTGTCCCTG